CCACGATGGTTATCTAAATAAATACAATGCTTCTCTCGCAAACTTCATGTATGGAGCATGTTACAACTTGGGACTTGCTCATTGTACATATCTTCACCCTGATTACAGCTCAAACCCAAACTTGGGCATGAGAAGAACCACCCTCCAATGTGGGCTAGCATAGTCCGACTACCAGTCTCTTCTGTCTTAGGAGAGCAAGAAGCTACTGTCACTTTTGAAATAAATGCCGATGGATTATATTCATACAATGACTTGCGGAATCCAGTTGTCACAGAAGCAAAATATTAGATTTGCATGAACCTTCAATCTCTTTGCTGTTGAGTTTGAATTAGCAAATTAGTGATGTCTTGAATGCAACATCGCCATTAGACAAAGATGGCAGAGGATGTATGTTCACAATGGAAAAATTCTGCGCATCGGATTGAATAATTATGATGGTTGGGCAAAGAGATAGCAGAGCAAGGCAGCAACCACAGCAACACTTAAACTGTTTCCCAGCATTGCATAACTGCAGCAGAAAATGAAGAGTCAAAGGTATTAACTGGGATAAGAGTTTCTTTTCCACCTTCTATACTGAGAGTAGAAGTTCTTTTGCCCTTGGAATATATACAAAAACTAAATTGATTCAGCAGAAGCAAAACTTCCTTACTATCTCACAATGCCTAACCATACACAGAGCAAAGAATTTTTGTTTTGAAATAATATACAGAGCAAAGAATTGATATAACTTTCTAGCATGTTTGTAAGTTTAATTAGAGTTTATTTTCAAATTCTGTTGCAAACCCCATTGGAGGAAATATAAGATTACTCACCTCTGCCTAAGGTTTATATGCTCTGGAAATCGAAAATCTTCCGGGAAAGAATGCAAGTTAGCAACCTAATAGTTCAGAAAGAAAGAAAAGGGGCCTTTTCAAATGACAAAAAGATAATTTAGGAGAATAAATGATAAGTACAAGCAAAACCTACACACCTCCTTGGGGGTAAAATATCTAAGACCTTGCTCCTTTAACGAAGAAGTTTTTCCCTTGTTCTCTGGCTGTATGTTCATAAGTTGCAAAAGTCAAATCTGATTCCAGATTCAGAAACTATAAAATTTTCCAAATGCTAAAAGGAACAAGATATAAGGCTTAAAGTTAGGATTAGGCTTAAAATCAGGATGTCGCAAATGACAACCATGACTGTGTTAAAAAAGCAGAAACTGGCTAAAACAGAAACTATCCAATTTGTAATAATTTTGACTATAATATGTTAAAAGGTAAATGCTTCTTCTATGATAAAGGTGGGTATGGTCTATAAGCTACAATTATACTAACAAATGAAAGGTTGCTGCATCTATATATATATACATGTATACATTTCTGTGTGTTTGTGTATACATGTACATGT